ATTGTTATGCCACATACACATTGATAGCAATCTGGCAAGAGACATAGCATAATTTAGATAGAAAAAATAAAACCAAACCCAAAGGGAAACAAAAAAATCTAGTAAACAATATTCTAAAGCCCACTTTCAGATGGATATTAAAGGGCTTGTTTAAACCACTGCTAGAATACCTATAGCAGAGATACACCTTCTTTGTATGACTACAGAGATAAAGATTCTAGTAAGTTCAGGAAATAATCTCATTTAAAAAAAAAAACAAGTCTTAGTCATACATCATTGTGAGACAATTATTTTTTCAAGCAATTGTCACCCTACTACAAATGCTTTACAATAACACTTTCATGCTTATGAACCACCCTTACCATAACACCACCAAAACACTTATCCAACTGCATTGTATCACTGACAGATTTTAAGCAAGTAGAATTAAAAAAAAATAATTAAAAATTTTTTTAAATGTTAAAAACTTAAATTACAGACAATGTCTGACCTACAGGACACATCTTGTGACAAAATGTGTCATAATTAAAGGTTATTTCTAATTAATAATTCCTTATTTAGTATTGCAATATGGCATTTAATATCTAATTAGTTTATCCCTTTCTCCACAGATAGAGGAAAAAAAAGATAAAATAGCAATTGAGAAGAAAATAATACAATATAAATTGGTACAGAACTGGTAGAAATGAGAACTGTGTTCACTCTGCTAACAGTGCATTCATATTGGTCAGACCTAAAGGGTACAATAAGACAAGCAAAATGTGTAGACTAAATTAATCACAGTAAAATCACACTGAAGGAAGAAATCTTTGAAAGTGTACATTCAAATATAAGAGAAAAAAAAGTTTTAGAAGGATGAAGGGAAAAAAGGAGACAAGGAAGGCATGTAAAGAACTGCTTACCAGGAACAAATACGAAGGAAAATATCCTGTCTGGGTTTCCTCTTGGTTGGACCTAGTAGGTCCAATCTACTAGGTTGAAAGAAGCCTTGGACTGAGCCAGTACCTACACACTGGGGCCCCTCAGTGGAGAAGGTGCCAGAAAAAGCTGCAAATCTCAGTTTACAAATGAATCCTCAAATTAGTGCCGAAGTTCCTGTAGAATGAACAGGAGTAGACAGGAATCTTCAAAAGCATTCTCCAGAATGCTCAGGATGCACTTAGCTTTTTGTAGGCTATACGAAGTGCATAAACAACTTTGAGAAGCAATCATGGGTTCCAGATGCTGTATGAGAAACAAAATGGGCAACAGAAAAACTGAAGAGGAGCATGTATGAATTTCTACGTGCCTCGGGATCTCAGGGTTATAAGAAGCACTAAAGGTTGCCTGTGGGCTACAGTCCTCTGCAGCTTATATCTAGATTGGGACCTTTTCATGGACACGGTCTGAATGTGAAAAAACACCCTGTCATCCTACCCTTAGATTTCAAGAGGAGAGCTATTACTGATACCTAACCATGGAGCTCAGATAAAGCCCTGTCTTTCTTGAAGGGGATAGTATGCTGTCAAGGGCTTGCTTTATGTTTCATGTAAGTCCTCACAGAAAAAGCAGGTGATGGTACATAGCTGCAGGACAGTTGTTGCATCCTTTAGTCCTGAGGTAGACCACCTTGCATTTTTGGACCTTGAACTTACACAGATTGGATGGTGTCCAGGGAGATGGCCTCACAAAACCACCTAAGATTTTTTTCTCAGAAGGAAGCTGATTACTCAGGCATAATCCTTGAAAACATTAGGAAGTCTAAGGGTTTTGTTCGTTTTGTTGTTAGGGTTTGCTTTTGTTTTTTTTTTCATTTGTTTTTTGGGGAGTTTTGCAACTGTATTGGATATGTAGCATGAGCCCAAGAGATTCTCCAGACACAATACAGCTCTTTCACATTCCGGTATAGAATTTCTGAAGGGTAGGGCTATGTTGGCAGATTAACAGCTACATGATACATGACAGCACAGTGAGAAGTCATACCATAGCCCAAAGGCTGCATCTTTAGAGAAGAATGGGTAAGCTGCTATAAGCCAGCTGAGTACAGGTGGATCCATGCTGTTGATATGAGCTACTCCCAGCTCTGACCTTGAGTTTCTTTATTGGAAAAGTCATTTAGCCTCTATTACAGCTGAGTAGGAATCCAAAGAAAAGACATAAGCAACATGGCAAATGAGGGGTGGATGGGGGATGGGGACAGGTGAGGAAGGATAAGGTGAACATGATGGTACAGATGCCACAAAACTGAACCCACCCACATGTTAGCCAGTTAATTACAAAACCAAACATCTTTATGTTCATATCTCACTCATTGCTTATTTCACTGTACAAGCCATCTGTCTTCAAAAAGAAGTGAATACACAGCCACTCAAAAGAAATGTGTTTTCTCCAGGGATTTTACAGCTGTTATCAATAATGAAATACTATATTTGATATGAAATAGATTCCTATGCACAAGTTATTATTACCTTTGAATCTAGGTGATCAACATATCAAATTCTAATGCTATCCCGGTGATTAAAACATACTGTGAGCATTTTACCTGTACCAATAATTTTTAAAATAATATTTTGGATTTACAAATCCATGAACATTATGGTATTTTAACAAGTACATACTTTTAAGAAAGTGACTGAATTTTCTACTGATTTTGATTTAACTTGCTACTGTATCCAGGAAAATAATTTGCAGTACACTATCTTAAATTCAGATACATAACAGTTCAAGGGAGCAAAAGAAATTTGTTACACAGAGCACAAACTGGTAGAAAACAGCACTTACTGAGAGAGGCCTCTCACAAAAGATTTCCTGATTAGCTACAGATCTTTACAATGACCACCAAAAAAACAGGGACAATAAAGCTCAGAAATAACTTAAAAATGCTGATCTCACCTTCTTTCATATATACAGAATTTCTACCAATCCTGAGCAGCAGCTCCAAAGGTAACTCCCAGAGAACTTCCAACTCCTACAAACAAAGAGCTAAACATTTGCTATTAACCATCATTATTTTCACCAATACTACCACAGCACCTGGAAGCCCAGACTGGCACACCATTTTTATGCAAGAGGTGGCTACTGAAGTATCATCCTCCAGATCTCTGGTAACAACTTCTATAAAAATTTCTATACATACAAAATATGTAGAACTACTGTTAGACATTAGTACAGTGGTAGGATTGATGAGCTTTAAGAAGAAAGATTCTGCACAATGAAGGGCAGGAAGAAAAATGAAGAGAGAAAAGCAAAGGGAAAGATATGGATTACATAGTCCTACACTAAAGCAGGCTAGATTTTCTTTTTTTTTTTTCTTATTTTTTTCTATATCAATCCAGCCTATACCCTGGCTAGCCTGTGCCTATAATACTCTGGTTATTGTAAATCACCCATACAACACAAGTCTTGTGCCAGACACAAGTTTACTACAGTTCACTACAGCTGGTCCTACAATTGCTGAAATACAAGGGGTTAGAATAGACCAGAATGAGCCTCTGACTTTAAAAACAAAGCACTTTAAAGTGTTGTAAGTCATGCTAAAACTTGCATGAAGTCAATGGAGGAAGGGTTATTAGACACATAATTCATCATCTAGATGAAGAGATGAATTTGATGTTCAGCATTTTTTCCTCTCATTTTCCTCTCATTTATGCAGTAAATATTTCAATGACACAATTCAGTGTAAACACAGTAATTTCTGCTTCAGTTCCATATATCCCAGTGTGTCTGCTGTCTCATATCTCTGTCATCTTCCACTTGAGGGACAGTAAACATTCATGGGCAGTTCAGTTCAGCAGCATGAACTTAGTCCCTTCCCATGAGTAAACACTTAAAGCACTGAATCTACATGACCATACATGCTTCAAATTGGGTTGGCTAAAAGCTAAAGCTCAATTCACTTCTCCAAGGACTAGGATGATATCAACTCTGTAGGAAATATTCCTTGTACAGCTAGTCCTGGATGTTCAGGGTCCACTTTGCTGCACTGGCTATAAAGGCAAGTTCAGTATGGAAAGCTTGAATCCAACTCTCCACTACCCATGTGGGATGGCATGATTTGCCAGAAAAAGACAAGATATACTGCACAATTCTTACAGAAAAAGTTTCTGGACAGTGTAATTTCTATCCCATATAGAGTGTGTTCTGCTCAGAAGCACTAGCTCTTTCAAGCTGTGACTTGTTCTTTTCATCTCAGAGTTCCTTCTTGTCCAGCAATTCCTGCAGTGCTTATTTCTTACTTTTCCAACGCTTTATGCATAATTCCCCTAAATAAAATCCCTTTTAAGTTAAAATCGCTTCCTCAATGGCTCATTTTTCTAAACTCTGGGAGAAGGCAGTCAAACTTCTTCTCCATGCCCATCATCTCGGTTTCACATGTATTTCCTGCCAAGCCCAGTAAAATTTTGGCTTCCTCAAACACCTTATCTCCTCACCTTCCAAAACCCTGACCACTCACAGGATACATTTTCCTCTTTGTTGCCCGACAGCGCTTTTCTACTTCTTTCTCCTCTTCAGTTATCCCACTGTCATTCATTTCTTTCTGCCTTTCTGAACACCCTTCTTGTAAAATTTGTCATCTCCCGATCTGCACGCCACCTTTATCCTCTGTCACGGCCAGTTTCCCTCTTTACCTCCCATACCGGCCCCCGCCAACGGCCCCAAACTCCATCTCCAGCACCAGGCGCAGGCGCGCTCTGCGATAGCGCCAGGCGGGATGGGGGCGCCCTCCAGAGGCTCCGGCTGCGCCCTGTCCCGTCCTGCCCTGCCCGACCCAAAAGCCAGGCAGAGCTCAGCCTTGGCGCAGAGGCACTCAGAGGGACCCCCTGCACTTCCCCTGGCGGGACGGCGGCACAGGCGGCGCGGACAGCATGGCCACTATGTGTCCGCTCGGCGGCTGGGGCGGAGACAGGGAGGGCACAGCTCTCCTCCCGCCCTCCGTTCGGCTTCTCCTCCTCCTCCCCGCTCCCGCCCTCTGTTCCTCCTTCCCTCCCTGCCGCGCCGGCGAGACCGCGAGAGCGGCGCCCGCCCCGCGTCCGCCGCCCCGCGTCCGCCGCCCCGCCAGGGCGAGGAAAGGAGGCGCAGCACTTGGGGAGGCGGCTGGATGAAGGCGTGTGCCTCAGGGCGGGCTCGGCAGCCCCTCGGGCATGAAGGGGACCGCGGGGATTCTGCCCTGTCCTGCAGCCGAGCGGGGACATCAGGTAACAGCCCCGCACGCCTGCCCGGCCCGGCCCGGCCCGACACGCCTCGAGTGCCGAGAGAGGGCAGGCGTCACCTGGAAAGTTTTCCTGCTGCTGATGGCTGAGCGGCGAGGGGCGGAGGAGGAAGGCGAGAGGCAGCCCTCCGTGTAGGGTTGCACATCGGTTTGTTCGGCGAGAACCGCTTCGTGCTCCGGCACCTCGGCCGGGTCCCTGAGGTTGTGCTGCTCCCGCCAGGGGTGCGGCGGGGAGGGCTGGGAGGCGGCGCTGTCATCCCGCTGCCCCAGCGGCTCGGAAGCCGTGTCAGCGGCCGTGGCGCGGCAGGCAGAAAGTTTGCAGCGGGGTGAGGGGCAGGAAGGAGGGGAAGAGGATCGCCGCGGGAGGTGAGCGCGGGAAAGGGGGCGCAGCCTCGCGCCGTTGCCGTGGGCAGTGGGTGCCGCGCCTCCCTCGCGGCGCAGGAGCGGTGCCGCCAGCAGTTGGCTGAACTTGTGTCACTCGGCTGTGTAGTTTAGTAGGATTAAGTATCAGTAGAGGTGTAATGTCGGCATCTTTAATGGCTGCATTTTACTCTTCTGTGAAATTTGCTTACTTCGTTGTGTCAGTTTGGGTATCTTTAGGAAAAACAAACAGCGAAGTCCTACCAGAAAGAGATGCACAGCAGTGCACCTGAGACTTCAGTATGTGTGTTGTGTTGTATGACATAACTGTAAATGCAACTGCTGTTCTTTTTGAATCATACTTCGTTTGGGCTTTTTTTAACTGAACATTTGTGGATTAAGCATAAACTTCTAATAAAATATGTGCATTATCATTAATGCTGTTGGAAATTAAATCCCACTTTAAATGTTTCAGAATTATTTTCTTCCCCCTTTGCTCATAAGGACAGTAAGTCAGATTCATATAGTTTGCTTAGTTCTTCTGAAATCATTTAAGGAATAAAAAGTGAACAGAGTGCCACACAGAGGTTATAGGTACCTTTGCTACAGAGTGAAAAAAAAACATTGAACCACCTTAAAGTAAAACAACAAAAAATCTGTACCTTCTGTAGTCCCCTTCCTTTTAGCAGCCTGAACAAAGAAGTGTACAGTGCAAACTGCCCTGAGAGTGAAAAGATTCAAGCCATTTCAAATGAAGCAATTTTCCCTTATAGAGAATGTTCTCTACTAACTCCCTGGGTTAATCAGAGATATTCTACCTTAATTATCAGCTACAGTTCTGTTTTACTTCCAAATTTTCAAATACCTAGGTAATCCCACAATATTTGTTGCAAAAGCCAAAGAAAAACCTTAAATGTGATGAACTTCATTTCATCAGATCAGAAAAGTATTCACTTTGGGTTTGGGGGTTTGTTGTTCTTTTTTTTTTTGGTTTTGTTTATTTAACGATACAACAAATATGGTACCAAATTTAGGGGGGCATTCAAAAGTGGGCTAGATTTAGCAATGTACCTACCTGCAGGTACTGCCTGTAATTGTTGGACATTGAAAAGGCACTGCACTTAAGGTGATTTTCAGGCTGGGACTTTTCCTAATGAGCACATAGTTATATTCCTTAAGAAGGTCTATCACAGTTAATGACCCAGTGCAGCTCTAAGACTGCTTTATATATGGTCAGGTTTTTATTCATGGACTTTTATATTGCATTAAGCTGAGAGAGGGCTAAGGAAATAGAAGCACAGGACATATAAAACTTGAAATGCTTCCCACTTTTGTGTGTTTTGTTCATTGGTTGGGGTTTTGCCTTTTTTTTTTCACTGTCACCTTCAAATATAGCATCTCTCTGGGCTTTCATGCAAAAGGCAGATTTTATTAAACATATAAAACAATTTTCTATTGCAAAGTCTTCTGTAGTTCTTACTTTCTTAAAAAGATAAGATATGACTAGGGAACTATCATTTTTCTTGACAGCATGACAGTTAAAACTTGGTTTGCATAGGAGCAAGCATGTGTAGTGCTTTAAAAGAAGATGTCATTCTGAACTGTCATTGGTTAACTTTTCAACATTTTTTAATGAAAATGAATATACTGCTTATAAAATCACTGCTAGAATGTAACTAAAAGGTAAGAATGAATTAATGTAGTGATGTTGGGTCTTATTTAAGGTTTTAGTTATAGTTTTAATATTTACATGCCTATGGATTTAGTACTTGGTTCTGTAAAGAGGTATTTGAATTCATTTTATTCATATCGGGATCTCAGTTAAACTCACAAAAGTCCTATTGATGCAGCAGTGCTTAAGGTACACAGAGGTGGAATATGGAATTTCTCTTTTTTAGAATACACTAAAACAAAATGCTTTGTTTGCTAATGAACCTTAGATTTTGATAACATGTCCAAATTGTATGTAGCTATTGCTATCAAAAGCTGAGCTTGTGTTAGAAGTCAGGAGCTTAAATCTAACTGTGCGTTGAGCAAATGTTCTTTTTACAGTGTGTGAAATCTTAAGCAATTAAAATGGCCAAGTGAAGAGCAAGGGAGGCATATAAAGTGGCATTAAGGTGTGGAAGTGTGGGAAGTTAGTCACCAGCTTTTGAAGATAATGTGCACCTTGGGGATTTTGGGTAAAGGTATACCTGGAGAAACAGGTGAAGTATCTGCTTTTACCTGAAAACTGTAGTTGCTATACAGCTTTTTTCTTGCAGTTCTGTTTGCAGACTTTATACTGCTGTGTTTAAAGGCTTCTCTTGATCTGTGATAGAAAATTTGTTCCTTCATTGTTAAACCCATCTGGTGTGGTTGAAGTAGATAAAATCATGGTGAAACTAGTTACCTGTGTGTAGTGTATCTACAGAAGCAAGAAACTGATACAAAATGGAATACTGACTAAAGAAAATTCTATCCTGTTTACAAGTTCAATGCCCAGGCACTGAGGAGTACATACTATAAATTTATAGAAAGTGAGGGATAGCCTTTGAGAAAGGATTCCTTCTGGTCACCACAAACAAGTAGTATTCCTGCAGAGTGAGCAGAATAAGCTTTAACTTTGTGTGCCCATTCTGGATGTTATTCCCTGTCATCTGTTACGTCTCCACTCAGTTTCCTCTCAGCTGAAAGACGCTCATTATTTAATTTTTGTTTTCTTTGTCACCTTTTTTAGACCTCTGGTAGTTAATATTTTCCGCTGAATTCCTTTAATTTCTTCTGTATTCCTTAGATAGAGAATGCTCTATAAAAAAATTACAGCTGTAACTTTACCAACAAGTAAACCATAAAGATTAGCTTACAGTTCAAGGTAATGTATTGTCTTTTATGCAAAGGTATTATATTGCTGATCACTTTTAGCTCATGCTAACTTTCACCACCAAAATACCAGAATAGCTACATGTTATTTGCCCTCATCCTTTATTTTCTTAGTTGATTATTCTTAGGTAAACTGTTTACCTTCTTTAATTACATCTTCATTTTCTCCTAGGTCATGTGTTCAGTTTAATATGATTATTGTGAGTTTTACTCCTGCATATCAAAATTTCTAGCTCCGGCTTCCAGATCTCCTTGGCCTAATGTAATGCTCAGATGTAACTATACTCTGTCTTTTCAATTATTAATGAAGTGATAAACAATATCTACCAGGAGATAATAGGGGAGCCCCTCTTAAGCAAGCTTTGCAGTTTGTCAATGAATTGATAATAATGAGTCTCTTAATATGGTATTGTAACCTATTTTCTTAATTTAAACCAATACAACGGGTTTCAGTCCATAGGTACTATGTGAGTGTATAAATATGGGTATTATTGTCTTTTGTAAACTATTATGATGTTCAGAGCAGGAGTAGTATGTATTCCATGACAGATTGAAAGGAAAGGAAGTGCTCTTGAGCCTTCTAATTTAGAAGTTCTTTTTAATACAATAGTTTTCACTGAGCAACCAAATACCTTTTTCTGAATGTCACGTAAAAATACTCATGGGCAGTGTACCTTGTATCATGTATACTGTTTGTAATTAAAATGCTGCACAGAAACCTTTTGAAAATTAACATGTTAATATAAGTGCTAGTTTTACTTCTTAGTTTCTGACAATTATTTATTGTGACTTTAGTCAGCAAATAATGGGGAATACTGTGTCAAATTATTGAAGTGTTTGTTTAACTACTATGCTCTAGATAATTTCTAAAGGTCAGGCAAGTTTAACATTTGTACACATTTTTGAAAACAGCACAGGAAAACTGCAAATAGTGTTTAAAAAACTGATTCTCTGTTAGGGGTGTATAGCCCTGAAAATCTTTAAAATCTTTTCACAGTTTGCCATTATGTTAAATTTGATGTTAAACTTACCTGTTTTCTACTAATATGTGGAGGTTTAGATTTAATAGAGTGATTCTGAACACCTATTATTTTTTTTCCACTTCAGTGAAGAGACTCACTGTGATGTTGCAAATTAATATATTTGTCAATATTGCTAGTAAGTCACATAATACGTATCAGCCTCTGAAACTGAAGAGTTACTTTTGGAAACTTCAACATATGTTACTCATACAAAAGTACCCAAATAATTTCCTTATTTGTGGTTGTGCATTAAGCATTCCCTACTTCTGAGGATGTATTTATTATAAACATAAAATTCTGAGAACTTCACAATATCAGGTCCATAAAACCGGGAGAGACAGTTTCCATTTGTTTTCTAAGAATTGAACTATGGAATTTAGATTTTATATATTGAACAGCATTGCTGTCTGTTATCATTAAAAATACTGTAAAAACGTATTTCTCTATATTGTAGAGAAGTAGATAGCTTTTGGATTAGGAGTTATGAAGAAAACGTTTCAGGATTCAAGAAATTGTACAGTGTGTACTGAAAACCCCATTCATTAACCTAAAAATGACAAAAGAGCATATACATAAGTTTTTTCTAAACCAAGCAATTAGTTTGATTTCAGAAACAAGGAATTTTTTTACATAACTATCTATCGGTTTTCCCAAAATATTTATTTGTTAACGAGGAATTGTAAATTAATGCGCAACATTATTAGAGAAAAATGTATGTGAAAAATCATAGCATAATACTGTT